TAGGATTCGCAACGATTCAGAATCAGGGTATAACCTCTATACCGCACGCAAAAATAAACCATTTGGAAATCCGCCGGGACCTGTTTCGCACGTGCGAGAGAGTGCTTATCGTCGCGCGCTCGCGAATTTGCGGACACCCCCGTCAGGTTTGACCCGGAATTTCGGCCGCAATTTTCGACGGCAGCGCAAAACATCGCCCCGCTATACAAATTATGCGAAAGTGTCGGGTACGCGGTGCCGTGGCGGCCGGGTATACGCGGTTTCGCGAACCGCAAATTTCAGGGCTTGTATAGTACGATCGCGAGTCCTCGATAATTCGGGGGTACCGTCGCCATCTCGCCGATCCTTGCAACAGTCTCTCTCTTTTCTCCCCCCCCCCCAACCCTCACCCGCAGTCCCTAGCCGTCCGATTCGCCCTCTCCCAAATTTTTTACTGGCCAATGCACCTTCCGACCATCCCGCGTCACCGCATTTTACCTTGCCCGTCTCCCTCGAGGCGCTCCGTATATTTCGTGCACCGAGTATAACGGTGCTTCTTTCGAAGACGCGGCAGGTGCGCCGCGAAAGCGGCACTGAAACAATGGGAGGATTTATGTACGAAAAATCTTCGCTGTAACGCATATCCGCGAATCGAGGAAAGCAGTTGTCCTAAAATACATATCTTTCCAGAGGTTGCTCGCAGGATAATAAATTTCAAAAAATAATTAAAATAAAATCATATAGGATACACATTCTTAATACTGTGGGATTGAAATCGTAGTTGCTTACGACGTTTCAATTGCAAATGTTATTGCGTATTTGTATAGTTTCTGCAAAGCTATTCGAAGTATGTCTTTTACTTTCATGTTTCTTTATGTATGTAAGAAAAAATCTTATACATAAATAATTTAATCAATTAATGTGCATAAATATTGTTAATTTTTTTATAAAATCAAAATAAAATAAAATTAGGATAAAAGATAATTTTCATGTGGTTGTTGTATAACATGTCGCGCATTTCACTGTCATCTCGGACTGCGATTTATAGTATACTATTGAGTTATGCATCATTTCACATCTAAAGTTAGCGTAGAGAAATTTCAAGGTGACGAGTACGCGAGTCTCATACCCGAGCACGCCCTTATCGATAAAACATCTATTTTCTCCGCGTTCGATATTTCAACGACTTGTCAATACTTCAAGGTGCTTCTCTTTATCGTCGACACTATCGACATGCATAGTGAGAAAAGAAAGAGGGAGAGGAAGAGAGACGGAGAGAAAGAGGGGAAAGATAAAGACGAAGATTTTATCTTTCCCTTTCTTCTGTCTCTCGGAGAAGAAACTATTTCGCTTATTTCGAATATCTCGCGCGGCAGGATTATTATTCGCCAGGATTTAAAGCGATGGCCCGATAACTTTCACCTCCGGCAAAGAGCCAGCAGTTCTTATTGGCCAAGTTCGCCGATACGTTTCCTGCTGCGAGCCGAGAAGTGCACGGGAGCATTTTTTCGAGATTGGAAAACCGGAAAACGGAGCCGCCTGGGAGAGCCGCCGCGGCGGCGATGACCCCGGAATACCTAATGGCGTTTGTAGTCGTTGACCCTTCGGAGCGTCAAATACTAAACAGATGTCAACTGAATTCACTCCCGGGGAGGCGCCCGGATGCTCCTTGGCGCCGCGATAAATTCGCAGACGCCGCGAGGGCCATTAGGGATAGTTGAAACCGAGCGAACTGCTAATGAGTATTCCGCGAATAAGTACTGGTATTATTAACTCCGAGTGTCGGAGATCGATCGGCTGCATCGCGACTGACGGTCAGTTGTTGGACTGGATGAATGATGTAATTTACAAGAAGAATATGCTTAAACCGTGGGGTCTAAGCAAAAAAAAAATGCTAGCATATATAGTTTAAGAATTAACGCAATAAATGCCAATAAATGCGAGAGTGAAATATTATTTAATACACACGGAGAGAATTTTTTTTTAAATTTACCCTGCAAATCATGTTAATTGTGGGGCAATATAGAATTTAGGCAAATTTTACTGTGCACTGCAATAAGATTTTACAGTAAAATTTATTGCACAGTAAAATTTGCCTAAATACTATATTGTCCCACAATTAACATGATTTGCAGGGTAAATTAAAAAAAATTCTCTCCGTGCATTAATCAAGATTTATCATTGTTAAATTTTTCAAAATAATTTTGGGAACAAAATATTTTAGTGATATTAATAAAATAGTATTGTTGCGAAGAGATAAAATTTTCTTTTTGTGAAATAGCAAACATTCTGTTTGCTATTATAACGATTATTTACTCAAGATGCATGTTATTAACTTTATTTTTGATTCGCGGAAAAATCATTAATATGAAATGCAAAATATGAGCTTGTTATTAAATATATCGCTAATGGATGATCTGCATGATACAATAATAATCAAGCTTATATTGTACGTAGTGCATAATCCAAAATAAGATTTGTAAAATGATATTTTAAAGATTACAGACTATGAAATACAGAAAGAAAGTCTTATTTCTCAACATGTTAATATAATATTTTATAATATACTAATAACAAGAAGTTATGTATGTCAATACATAAAATCCAATCTATATTTCCATATAAACGAAAACATAAAACACATTGTATTTTTCGTAATAAACATCAATACGCTCAAACTGAAATATAACATATGTTTCATCGCCAAAACATCATATCTGAAATTCGCAACATTTCTTCTCTTCTCTGCGAGAACCTCTCAATAATTATGGCGTTAATTAAGATAATAATACGTAGGTGAGCTAATACTGTTATCGTCATCGAGATGACTGTTTCATTGGCTAATAAATGATACCCGAGGACAACTGCTTCTTTTATTACATAAGAGATAAGTATTGCCTCTGCGAATTAATTTCGTGCGCGCTCGCGCGCGCGCGCGCACGTGTGTCCGAGTGCTCCGAAATTCGACCCGTTGCGTAACGAAACCGTGACGATGACGATTTTTTCGAAGACACGATTTTACTCCGCTCGAAAACGAACGTTACTCTCGTCGAAACGTCGCGAAACGAATGCAAAGATCGACCGCTGGGACCAGGATTTTCTGAGATTTTACGCTCGACCGGCATAATAATCGCGGTCTTTGGCCACGTGGTATAATTGGCAAATATCACCGGCCAAGTAACGCGAAACGTGTACACCCGGTGTGCCGCGTGTGTATTCGTGCGTGTGCAAACAGCGCGTTGATATGTAAGTTGGCAATGTCCTCGAAAACTGAAATAGTTGTGACTTGACTTGAAAGGAAGACCCTTGACAGGTAAACTTAGAAGCGTAATTATATTAATTCTTCGTGATCATCACGGACACAATCACGAATTCCTTGAATATACATCATTTTATTCGAAAAATGTCAACATTGAGGGAGGGGTATTTAAAAACATGATGCAATCCGTATGTTACAACGCTTCAACGATTTTTATGACGAAGAAATGAGATCTATAATTTTTTAAATGACATTGACTTATGATTTACGATTGAAACGTTGACGCGGGATATTACGATTCATAATAAAACATCGGTAATATACATACATAATTGTAATCCTAAGAGTTTTCAATACATAAAGTAGTAGAATAAAGATATAAAGACAATGCAAATGTAATATATATCCATATGTTCATTTCCCACCCGAAAATTATAATCAAGCGTAATTGCAATTCGTGTACGTTTGATGTACGTCAAAATAGATATGTATGATAATACGTGATATATAAATTAATATGCAATTGCGCGATAATATGAATTCTATCGATAATAGAAATATTAATAAGAACTTGTAGTGTGTCGGGCGCTTATCGCACTTGTAAAAATTCGGGAGCGAATATTTCGCGAGTGTACGTTCCAACGTTCGAAATACGCGACCTTCAACGAGTGCCTTTCGAAAATAGGCCAAGATCTGTGTAATCTCTGCATTAAAAAGACACGTATGTAAATTTCAAAGAATCGTCACATTGTCTGACTACTTTATTCAATTTACTCGTTCCGAGTATTATACCCATTACGTGCCGAAGAGTCACCATAAGAATTTTCGATATACCGTTCGCAAATATTTACAAAACAATTATAAGTTATTCAGAAACGTGTGTACCTACGCTCGATCGTTATTCCACTTCGAGCTCTCCACAAAGTTCGAAATCGACTAATGGTTCACATTTTGGATATATTATGATTAATGATTCACATCGATTTTGCGAATAATACTCGCGACTGCGAATCGTTCGCAACGATGATTTTATTCCAAATAATACAGTGTATTGTTACAGCGTTTTCGCGAAAGCGCAACTGCATAATCCCCCGGCATTACAAAAACATTTTGTAATTGTAATTATTATTCTGACCAAACAATGCAATCGTAAATACGTGCAAGTAGGACAATAATCGTAAAATATTATTGAAAACGTGGCGCGGACTTCGATGAAAGCCACGTCTCGCGGAAGCGAGATCTCTACGTGCACCGCAACCGCGGTGTCTAATAATATAACATTACAATTTCCCGATATTTACGGTAGTAATATCGAACCCGGCGGGAGAACAATGACGATTTTCATTTCTCGTCGACAACAACAACGTGTCGTCGTTGAGGTGTACTCTGCTCCGAAACCGGGCGTGGATCCGGATTTTCGGAGCACGAGTCGAAGTGGAGTAGCGATCTTCGATGTGCTGTCGGCGAACACGCGCACACACGTACACTCGGAATATTCGTACGAAGGGTCGCACCACGCCGCGATGTAAACACAAACGGCACGGCGCGGCGCGGTGCGAGGCGTCGCGCGCGCGACGCCAGGTCGCGGGGTGACCAACAATCGACCCGCGGTACAAACTAACGCGGTATAACGACACACCTGAAACGAGAGCGCGCGGGCCCGCCTCGGGATTCCGTGGAAACGATAACGTAAACGCGTGTAAGACGAAGAAAAACGTGGAGGAGCTTCCACGTTTCTTAGGAAGCGCACACACACACTCACCTGGAGGTCATGACAGCCGTTATCCCTGTGACTGGCAGCACGTATCACCCCCGCACGCCAACCCCACTCACTAATCTTATTCACCTTCAGCTTGGTGAAACCACTCACCGAGAGAAACCTCTTTCCCACGATCTCCTCGCGAAACTTGTACGCCATATTACGTTCGGTAAACCGCGGCGTGCCGAATCCGCGACTTCGGATCGCCACAGCCGGGTCCGCCAGTCACCCTTTCCCTCGCACGGTCGCCCTCCCCCTCCCCCTCCCTCCCGCCCCCACCCCCTCCCCCTCCCGCGAACGGGCGCCCCCAGTCTCCCTCCCCCACCGTTCCCGCTCCTCTTCCGTCTTCTCGCGCTCTCTTTCTCACTCTTTCCTCTCTCTTACGCTCGCTCACTTCACTCTCCCGTCCCCGGCCCCCTGACGCCGACCTGGTTTTACCTTCTATCCTCCGAGGAGCGTGCCTCGCCCCCGAAAAGAAAAGAAAAACAACAAACGGGCGCACGCACCGCGAAGCACACACACCGCGGGGGGAGGGGACGCGACGACGAACCCTGTCACAAACGATCACTATTCCTCGACGGCACAAAGCACCACTCCGCGGCCGAGCTCTTCCCGCCGAAGATCACGAAGGGCCATCGAACAACAGGGCCATGAGGCGATCGGCCGGTCACTCGTGTTATCCCTCTCTTCCCTCGCTGCCGTCTCACGCTCGTTCCCTCTCTCTCTCTCTCTCTCTCTCTCTCTCTCTCTCTCTCTCTCTCTCTCTCTCCCCTCAAATTTAT